GGTCCCAGGGCAGCCAGAGGGAAGCCCTGGACTCCCACAGTGTGAGGCAGCCTCTCCCCAGCGGCTGTGAGCAGAGTGAGGGATGGGACCCCTCTCCTCAGCCGGGCCGTGGGGTCCGAGCAGCCCCTGCCCGGTGCTGGCAGCCGGCCCCGCGCCGCTCCGGCTGCTGCGCGGCCGAGCCCCGCGCTGCGAGGCGCTGCTGTCGCCCGTGATTGATGGCGTGGCTCGGGAGGAAATAAATTCCCAGGCTTTTGCAGGAGGTGAACTGGGGGGTGTATCCATCTTAAAGATGCTTAATGAATGTGCCGCGGCCCGCGGAGCGGCAGCAGATACATCTCTGCAGCCAGCATTCCCCACGCTGTTCCTTGCGAGGCTCAGGCACAATTTAACAGCTTCTTATTGATTTTATTTATGTTTCCCAGGCCCTGGCAGTGTCTAGATTGCCCCAGTCCACCAAGAACTCCATAGTCACAGAGGTGACTTGCACTTGATTTTCCCATCCTGTTTCTCAACTCTGGGGACAAAACCTGGTGTTTGGCCAGAAAAGATGGAGTTTTAGTCTCACATGGGCTTCAGCTTCAAGAAGGAGGATGGTGCAGGACAGCTGGGGTGTGGGAGAGGATCTCAGAGGTCACTTGGCACGGGCACGGTGGCGATAACCTCTGGGCAGAGCTGTCCCCTTGCCCGCCTCTGACTCCGGTGCCTTTTGTCCCCTTCCGTGTCCCCTCAGTGCGTCCCCTCGGGGCAGCACACGCCGAGCGAGACCTTCAAGATCGCCGACAGCCACCCCGAGGTGGAGGAGCGGGTGGAGCCGCTGTCCCCTTCCCGGAGCCCCCTGTTCCACAACAAGCACCGCTACCAGAAGATCGGCGTGCACGAGGTGGCCGCGGGCGACGGGCAGCGCTACAACGTCCTCTACCTGGCCACAGGTGTGGGGACACATCGAGGGGACAGGGAACACACCCCAGCCTGGCATCTGTTGCTCAGCTGCCAAATTTTGGGAAGAGACAAACGCTGCCGGGCTGGCTGGGTGGGCACAGCCGGGCTCCGGGCAGCATCCCAGGCACGGGGGCTCTCCCCGGGGTAGGTTCGTGCTGGAGGGGCAGAAATCCTTCCCCAAGGAGCAGCTCTGTCGTTTTTTGATGCTTCCCGAGCTGCCCTCTGTCGCTGTCGAGGCAGGACGGGAATGAAGAGACTCTGACCAGAAGGCTGTGAGAGTAAAACTCTGATTTATTCAAAATACACCGCTCTTTTATACAGAGCTTTGTGAGGACCAACTCCATTGGTCCTGAAGTGAAAACAACCCACCACCGTTGGTGCAGAGTGCTTGACACACAGTGATAGAACTGAACTATAAACAATGTGAACAACAAGAGAGATAAAGAATTATTTACATTCTTTCCCAGCTCTTTCCCAGGTTTCTGCCTGGATAGAAACTCTCCGTTTCTCTCTTTGGCTGAATCTGAGACCCACAGTCCTCATCCCTCCCATCTGTGGGATGTGTTCCCTGGGTCTCATGGAGGGAGCTGCAGGGATTTAAATTCCTGATTTTGTGATGGGGAAAGTGCAGCCAGCTCTCGGTGGGTGGGTGGGGTTGGGCTGGGGCCAACAGTGATGGATTTGGGATTTTACAGTTAGAGAGAAATAGAGAGAAATAGAGCAAGAGAATTAGAAATAGAAAAGCAGAGAAACAGAGCAAGAGAGTTAGAGAGACAATTGAGAAACAGAGTTAGAGAGAAACAGAGCAAGGGAAATAAAGAAACAGAGCAAAAGAGTTAGGGAGAGACAGAGAAACAGAGTTAAACAGAGAAAGAGAGAAACAGAGAAACAGAGCAATAAATAGAGTGAAACAGCGAAATACAGAAACAGAAAAACAGAGAGAAACGGAGAAATACAGGAACAGAGAAACAGAGAAATAGAGAAACAGAGAAATAGAGAGAAACAGAGAAATACAGGAACAGAGAAACGGAAAAATACAGGACTGTCCCCTCTCTCCCCAGACAAGGGGTCCATCCACAAGGTGGTGGAGCTGCCAGATGGGGTGCAGAACATCGTGGAGATCCAGGTGTTCCCCAACAAGGATCCCATCCAGGCCATGATCCTGGACCATGCCAGGGTGGGTCCCTGCTCCGGGGGCGGGGGGAAATGGGGTGGGTCAGGCATGGATGGGTCAGCGCCAGCCCCGGGCTCTGGGAGTGAAATCATGGAATTATTTGGGTTGGAAGGGACCTTTAATGATCACTTTAATGATCACCCTATGACCTTTAATGATCATCCAGCCCCACCCTGTGGTGAGGACACCTTCCGCTGTCCTGGGGTTCTCCATGTCCCAGTGCCCACCCTGGCCTTGGGCACTTCCAGGGATGCAGGGACAGCCACATCTGCTCTGGGAATTCCACCCTGGCCCCTCCCCACCCTCACAGGGAACAATTCCTTCCCAATATCCCATCCATCCCTTCCCTCTGCCAGTGGGAAGCCATTCCCTGTGTCCTGTCACTCCAAATTCCCTCTCCAGCTCTCCTGGAGCCCCTCCAGGCCCTGTCAGGGGCTCTGAGCTCTTCCTGTAGCCTTCTATTCCCCAGGTGAGCACCCCCAGCCTGGCTCCAGAGGAGCTCCACCCTTGCAGCATCTCCTTGGCCTCCCTCCAGCAGCTCCAGCTCCTTCCTGACCTTTCCTGGGACATGGGATGACAGCTCCTGTGCTCTCCCCCCGCAGGCCGTGCTCTACGTGGGCTCCAGCAGCCGCGTCCTGGAGCTGCCCATGGACATGTGCGGCGCCTACCGCAACAACTGCCACAGCTGCGTGCTGGCCAGGGACCCCTACTGCGGCTGGGCCAACGGCTCCTGCCTCTCGCTGGCCCGCGGCCGGTGCGTGGGGACCATTCCCACCCCAACCCCAGCGGGCAGACACCCACCCACACCCTCAGCATTCCCCTCCTGGGCTGAGCGCCTGCGTGGGTTTGGGGTGGATGCGCTGTCCCCGAAGGTTTGGGGTGCCGTGGGTGGATGCATTGCTCCCTTGAAGGGTTTTGGGTGCGCAACCCCTCTTTCTGAAAGTTTGGGGTGCTCTGTGTGGATCCATCCCTCCCGTGAAGGGTTTTGGGCACCCAAGTCCTCTCCCTGAAAGTTTGGGGTTCTCTGCACAGATCCATCCCTACCTTGAAGAGTTTTTCCCCTTCTCCCCAAGATTTTGGGGTGCTCTGTGTGGATCCATCACTCCTCT